CTCAGTACCACAGCAGGAGGAGTTATTTTTTCTTGTTCAACACTGCAAAGCGCAACTGTTTGTGTCTAAAATACAGCACATCCTCCTGTAGCACATTGGATCTTGATGTTAACTAACTATTGCAATAATTTAAATCCTCATTGTTCAGTGTGGTCACCATTTGGCTTCTAAAGATGTTGACAGTCTCCTCAAACAAATATTTTTTAGGAGATGTAAACAGTTCTTTGGTGAATGACTACAAGACCACTGCAGCAGGACCACATCCACAGTAAATTGGTGCATTTGAGATTTTTGTCAAATACTACCTGAATAAAACTACTGCTCTTTTTTCAGCTCTCTTGAGAAATGAATATATCATGATCTAAAGTGTGCTGCTAAAAGGTTTTTGCAGGTTTGTAAAGAAAAATAATAATCCAGTTCCACTGACATCTCCTTACCCTGAACCTTTCTTCTCTAAAAACATTCTTGGAAACATCACAGAGTTTTATTGCCATCAGGCTAATCAGGCCTTGTTTCTTGCGTCTCTTCCTATCAGGAACAAGGACAGCTAAAGGGGGTAAGAGTACTGTAAGTCAGAATAAAAATAGATAATGAGAACTGTTAGTGTTTTTCCTGTGAGGGATTTTGGCATTCAGGCTGTGACGTGAGGGATCCAGTGTGGCAGAGCCTGGGCTGGCAGTGCTAATTCCAAATTTAACCTTTGCTTGGAACACTCAGGTTTTCATAACTTGTTTTTGAGGTCTCCAGACTTTAATTTAACTGCTGAAAGTGGGATTGGGACAGATCTTTAGCTGGTGTACACAGCTTAGCTTTATAAGCCTTGCTGGAGCCATGCCAGTCCACACAAGCTGAGGGTAGAGCTTGCTCTGTTTTGAATATTCTTTTTCATGCTTTGTATGCTCTTCTGCAGTGTGATGAGTGCTGATGTGGAGCATTAATTGCATGCGTTTGACAGAAACAGAGTTGGAGTTTAAATTTATTGTTGTTTTGATACAGTCTCAAAGGGGGAACTTTATACTAGTATTTTAAGGCAAGCATTTGTAAACACCTTGGAAATAGAAATTGAAAGTCCAATCCTTCTGCTAATGGAGTCATTGACAGTGTTTCCTTTGGCTTTAGAAGGGAGCTGGACTGGGTTCAGTGTAAGTGGTATACTCAAGTATTACTGATAACAACTAAGTGTGTTTTATATATTGATGCTTTTTGCTGGACAGTGCATTGGCTTTTTATGATTTGTTGGTATATACAAATAAACTATTTGAAAAGTTAGTATTTCTGTGCCTGTTTTTTTTTGAATGTGAATTGAAATTGTTACCATATTGGTTTAAAAAAAAAAAAAAATGTGGTGGCACCCTGGTTAGTGCACTCATTGCCTGGAATCTCCTTGCTGCAGCTCCCATGGTAACAGACATGACCGACCTCCTAATCTGAGCCCTTTCACCATCTTCCAGCAGTGAACTCTAATGCAACAGAAGGCAAGGAGATGATGATTCCATGTCAGGATACTGCTGAAGGTCAGCTAGTTAACAAGTGTAGAGGGCTATTGCAGGTTGCAAGGGGGGGGGGGGGGGGGCAGCATTTTCTAATTGTCAGCTGACTAATTCCTATAGCAGCAGCCTTTCTCTCCAGAAGTGAGACTAAATAATCCCATCAGCCACTGTAGAGAAAGAAATAGTGAGAAAGGAGTCCACTCCATTATCTTGGAGGTTCCTGAATTGTTTCTTGAGGGTAGCTGCAATGTGGTCACGTGCTGCTGACCTTCAGCTTAGTTTGGAGTGGTGAAAGGCAGAAAGAACTAGAAATGCTGCCACAGACTGCTTGTGCTCCTTGTTTTCAGACTCAGTGCTGGAGAACTGAAGCAATAGAGTAGGGCTAGATGCAGACTTTGGGGCTGCAAACATGACTGCAAAGTATGTTAGAGGTTAATGCAAAAAAAAAAAAAAAAAGTGTCGTCTCTCTGTGCTTTTCTACTGCCTGTAATTGTATGGGTATGGCTACACCAGCTAATGCAATCAGGTGGTGCTGATGGGGTGAGCCTGCCTGAAGAGGGTGCTGGCATTTGCCCTCAGTTTTTGCTGCAGGAATGCACTGCACATTGTCAAAACAACACTATGATCTGCTGATTCCTGCTATGCGTGAATTTAACTCCTGTTGCACAGGGGATAATAGGGAGCACTTCTGCCTTAGGCCTGTTTTCATGCACTGAACTCTGTGCTCTCTTCTGTCCCTTGGATTCTTGCCAATCCAGACACTGCTCATAGCAAGCTCATTTACTTGCAGCCTTCAGAACATGTTGCAAGAATCTGTCCCTCCTCTCTGCAATTTGAGGCAAAAAAAAAACCCAGCATTTCTAAACTAGACTAAATAATTGCTCAGATAGCTGGCTTTTAGTTAGTCTTCATGTCGGCACCACAGTGAATTCATGTGAACAGTTTTGATTATTTATTACAAACTGTAGTCCCTCTCCTTTTGTTTTCCACTTTATAAAGCAATTCTCAGGAGTCAAACTGGAGGAAAATGTTACCCAGCACAGCCTGCAAGGGAAACAGTAACCAACACAACCCATTATGTATAAATTCAGAGGTCACCTCCTCCAAACTCAGCAAGTTGTCACACCTAAGAAAGCCGTGTTGAGCAAGGAGAAATCCTATCCATCTCACAGCGGTGTGCATAGATGTGTGATGGATAAAGAGCAGAGTGTGAGAAGGGTGCTGCATGTAAGCAGAATGGTTGGAGGGGACAAGTGCTTCACTGTGAGGAGAAAATAAAACAGGTAAGTCTACAGTGGAGTTGTGCACTGGTAATTAAAGGCCCAGAGGTCAGGATTTTTACTTCTATTTCCACTCTGGCTATTGACTTTCACTTGCACAGAGGCACTGGCTTTCTCAGCTGCAGATTCTTCAGCTGTAAAAGGTCACTGCTCTCCTAGGGACAGATTTTAGTTTTTGTTTCTGACTGTTTGGTGGTACTCTACAGTACATTTTTTTTGGTTCTCTGCATTTTGCCAAATACCTGACTGGATTGCAGCAAAGAATCCTGGCCTGGGAAGCCTCCCAAAAACTTTGGGTACAGGCAATAGCAGCACTTGAATTGTACCAGCCAGAGCTAGGAATAGCTGTTCCTCTGCTTAATTTCCCTTGACAACCTGGATGTGATAGCCATTCTCAGAGTGGGCTTCTCACACTGATAAACTTGGGCACAGTGAGGTCAGTGTGGTTATTTTCCACCTCAAGCAAGGCTAGAAGAAGGTGGGCCCCATGCATACAAATATGCATGTAAACTTCATATCATCCCTTGCAGTCCTAAAAAGAGTTTCTGGTTAATTTTATCCCTTTGGTTTCTTTTCAAGTTACTGAAACCAGGTGGAAGCACACAGGAGGGATTTGTGGTACTGTTCTCCCTCTCAAAGTGACCCAGCTCCTGTCAGGCCAGGCCTTGCCTTTCTATATTGCAATATACCACAGCTTGCAGTGTAGGAACTGACTCTTCAGAAAAAACATTTCCCACCATAGATTCACCAGACACAAGTTTAAAGCTGCTTCTTTATTATCCCAACAGCGGGGTGATGGAGAGAGGGCAGGGAAGCCACAGGGGACTTACCCTGCGAGCTGGTGTGCGTGAGTGTTTTGCATAGAGTCACTGAGCCAAATGCTCCTGCAGTGACCTCTGTGTCCCAGATCAGCAAGCTCCCCAGGTGCAATTGCTGTTGCCTTCAGAGCATGAGAATAGCTGTTCAGGTCAGTTCTTACTGACTACAAATGTTTGTTTTTGTTTTTTTTTTTTTTTGTACTCATTATTTGTCAACCTGCCCACTCTGTTCTAGGTGAAAGCTCTGTAATTGGTTTTCTTTTACCTTCCATGTGGTTTAAATTTTTGGGGTGTCTGGACAAGCTTGCTTTTTTTTTTTTTTTTTAAAGTCAATTAGGAATAAAGCTGTTTCTTTTTGGTGCATTATGTGGCAGAGGAGTTAAAGCCAAGGTCTTGTGGGTATCTCTTCCCTCTTTTCCACTGTTTTCTTTCTTCTGCTTTTTTGGGCTCTGCTGTCACCCTTACACATGTGTCAAGTATTGTTTGACAAGAATCTAGGGCCTGGAAAATGGATCATGCTGTTTCTGTCTGTGGTTGACTTCATGTTGAAGGTCTCTTCCAACCTGAGCAATTCTGTGATTCTGAGAACAAAACACAGTTGAAGCTCATAAGATTGCATATGCTTGGTTCCCTCCAGAGATGCACTGTATGGTACTACAACAGAGATAACAGGGCTTTGACCCAACACCTTCATGAAAAGTCTATAATACCCTTAAACACGCAGGCATAAATGTGAAAGCTTCCACTGAAGACAAACACAACCGTAAATCTTGGGTTTATGGACTGAATCCAACCTAGAGGATTAAGTTCTGATTTGATAATTAACCTGGGATTCAATGCTGTTCTGTATTGTGTTAGGCAAATGCTCTGTTTAGTATTTAAATGCGTTTTCATGTTATTTTTCACACCTGGGAGTCAAGTGAAACATTAAGAAACAGCTTTTGCCCACAGACAGGGGGAAAAAAAAAGCCATTTGCTGAGCCTTTACTAGCAATCATTTCAGGTATATAAATATAGCAGCTTGCCAAGCCTTTGGCCACCAGAGCAGTGTTTGTGCAGTAGTTCAGCTTTATGTTAAATTCTGCAGAATAGTTCTTAGGAGGCTTGAGGAGAAAAATGGTTTGGTATTTAATTCTTTGACCTCAGACTCAGGAGACTTCTTTCAATGTTCTTCTGCATGCACGGATCAATGAATTTCTCTCTGGTCCTGCTCCTCATAGCAACAGTTCATAATCTCTTTGGGGGAAAAAATTCAGATGCTTGTTTGCTGTTAAGGATGATGGAGCAGAGGTGGGACCTCTTACTATTATCATTCAGAAATATTAAAAAATATATATTAAAAAAAAAAAAGTAGATGCTAGAAAGTGCACAAAATAGGTGGATTTTTTTTTTTTTTTTTGCTCTTCAACGTGGATACTCATGTGTTCCTTAAATGTGGACTGAGTGGGCTGGGACATTCACTCTGACACATGGTGGTTATCAGTGCTGCCTTCCTGCAAATGGAGGGCATTGCTACTACCTTGTAAACCAAGTCCAGCATTTATGAGCAATGTGTCTTATCTGAAGAAAGAAGATAACAAGTCGGGATTGAAACTCCTCCAGGACTTTGGTATCTTGTTTCATGCTGGCATAGAAGAGACTTGCAGCCAGGATCAGTACCACACAAAATGACAGCCCCAGGAGCATAGGCAATCCAGGTGATGACCTGTCATGTACTAGAAACAGGTAAGGAGGAAACAGCAGCATTATTTCAGTGTTATCTCATACACTTCCCAAATGTGATGCCCTACTGATGCTGTTGTCCCACTTCTCTGGGAACAGCAGGGTACGTGGGGCCCTGGCAGTGAGTCCTTCTGTAGGCATTAGTTATGTGATAGTGGGTTACACTCCTGATGCAGGCTGGTGAGTATAAAAGATCTAATGGTGCATTTAAAGAGTTTAATTATATACAATAAGAAAAGGATTACCATAGCTGATGCATAATCTCAAATTTCCTTCCAGCAATTATTGTTTTTATGCCTTTAAGCTAAATGTTAGGTTAAATACTAGGAGCATATTAAGCTATCTTACCTAATTATTTAATCCTCACAAATGTTCAGTAAAAAGAGAGGATCTAGATTTCTGTCTTTTTCTCTTGTTATTTGGCCTGTTTTGTATCCCTGCTAATTACAGTAAGAGCTGAGAAGAGGCTCTATTTGGTGAGAGGCACACTCAGGAAGCTCTGGCAGGCTTAACCTCTCTGTAAGTGCTAGGTGTACTAATTATACTGGAACATCCTCAGCATTTGCTCTTAAATAGAAGGATACTGTAAACATTTTTCTTGCTTGTTAAAATATAATTCAGAGATGTTTAAAGTGCTGTGGGTCAGGCATAATACATGTATGGAAATCAATGGTCTACATTTAGCTTGCTGACATTCGTACAGCTCTTTAGAGATGCCTCAGTTCTTATATGTGTGCATCCAGTTTGATTCAAATCTGGCAGCTCTGTTTGACTGTGAGGTCATTGCACCATTAGTATTATTTTATAAAGCACTTTGATTATTAAACATGCAATATAAAACCAAATTCATGCCTGAATAGAAACTCGTAGTGTGCAGCTATTTTCCTGCCATATGCACATAATCAATAAGAAGATAAAATTTGTGGATTATTATGGCTAAAGGACCAGCATTAGCTATAACATATTTAAATTAGCTTCTACTACCAGCTCTGGAATACACAGCAGTCCATTAAATTGTCATTCAGATGTACAGAGAGGAAGGTAAAAGTCATAAAACCAAGCAGAAACACATAATAATTTATCAAAAAGTGTACTGGGAGAAGGTAAAATGTTAATAGGCAGTCATTTTATAGCTTCTAGAAACCAAATCAATGTCCCATAATAGATCTGAATGAATTATTTGCAGCAAATAATGTATTCATTTGAATTTTGCCTTTCTTTCTATTTTGCAAATTATCCATAAACAGTCCTCAACTTTTATAAATTTGATTATTTGGTATTATTCTATGGAATGGTTTATATGGAGGTGTTTTAGCCAGGAGGACTGTGATGAATGGTGTCCTCTGGGGATCCATCTTGGTGCTGAGGTGCTAGAACAGATTGTCTGGAGAAGTTGTGGTTGCCCCATCAATGGAGTGTTCAAAACCAGGTTGGATGGGTCCTGGGCAAAGCTGTCTACTACCTGATTTAGTTGCTGACAACCCTGCCCAGCTCAGAGAGTTGGAACTAGACAATCTTTAAGGTCCCTTCCAACTCAAAGGCATTCTATAATTTTATGAATTTACTCACACTTTCCTGATTTTTGCAGTGTCTTATAATTTGGAAGGTGATGTTTCCCCTGTGTAATCATTCAGACTACAGGATATAGCTCTCAACTGAGTGTGGAGCACACAAAGTTTCCAAGGCACTGGGCCTGCCTGATGAGTATATTTTGTAAGGGTGAAACTCTTCTGTAATCCTCTATAGCTTTTCACATCAGTCCTTTCTATTAAGTACTCAAAATGATTTTCCTTCTTGTGAAAGTTACTTTCCAAGTCAAATTTTGGGGTTGCTTAAAATGCAAACTTGGCTTTTCATTATATCCTCTCAATACAGGAATATGTTTAGTCCGGGGATATAGAAGAATAACATGGAAGAACACTTTTCCATAAAGAAAAGTGATGAGCTATGCTCACATAACTTCATTGCACTGCTACAGAAGTGTGCTTGAGTGCAAATCTGCTTTATTATAAGTAACAAATAGAAAATCAGCTTAAATTTGTTATATTGTTCGTTGGAACAGCACATTCAGCCCTAGCCACGTGTCCATACACATAAGATAAAAGAGAATTGTCTGTGAGAAAAGCACTGGACCAGCATACAGGAGGTTTTGTTTCACATCCTGTATTGGCTGTATGTTTCTGTGCTGCCTGAGGGTGGTTTAGTCTTCTCAAGCTCCTTCCTCCCCATAGAATCTTTTCCTAGCCCAATGACTCCCTCAGCTGATGCTACCCTTGGTGTGAGCATGCAAACCCTCTTCCTGGGCAACTGTAACAGTTGGAGGCTGTGATAACATTTGCTTCCTTCTGGCCTCCCAATACTTTGGCTCTGTGTGTTTGTATACAAATGTGCACATATGTACTCTTCCCCCTCTTACTGTACTGCATACAGAAAGGGCTGGATATTGGCCAAGCCTTCTAGCAATGATCAACATCTTAATAACATCCAGGTACACACGTTTCCTTGGGGGTCTCTGAGGCTGGTTGGCCTCAAACATCCTTGCAAACAAAAAGAAGAAACGGATTATTTTTATTATTTCTACCCTGCTGCTGCTGTATAAATGAATTGTGTCTTCCACATGTAAGAAAGTCAGCAGGGAGAACTACTGTTTTGCTTGGGGTGCTTTCCCTCCATATCTTTGTGAAAAACCTGTACCTATTTCATTGCCATAAAATATATTAATTATATTTAAATTAAAAACAGCTTCAGGGATTTCATTTTTGTTTCCACTATTTGTCTTACTGGATGTCTTGTTTAAAATACTGCACCTGACCTTATCAACACCTTGTGCTTTATATGCTAGAAAGGGAAAAAAAAAAACAACCAGCTGCTGACAGTATGAAATGGTTCATATGTGGAGGGTCTATTTACAGAGTGTGTTCCTGCAGCTGCAAAGCAAACTTGGGTTAGTGCTGTGGATGGCTCGGAGTTATAATGTGGAAATTTGACTTACCCACTACGTAGTCACAGCAGGAAATAACTAGAAAACAGAACAAAAATGTTGTTAGATGTCTGGAAAGTGGGCATTTCTTGTCTGCACAGGTAGACACAGTGGATGAGGTGTCTGCAATTATCCACTGCCTTACAGACACTGGGCAATATCTTGTTGAATGCACTTATGCCAGATGAGGATTTACCTGTTCCATGCAAACATACAGCTGTACTTCAGGAAGGTGAGGGGAAAAAAAAATGATTTCACAGGTAGAGATTTCTGCTGTTACAGGGAGTTCAAGAGTCAGATCTCACAAACAAACAAACAAACAAAAAAAAAACAAAAAAAAAACCCCACAAAACACCTAAACTCTTCCTACCCTGCATTATTTATAGAAGGGAAGTGAGATAGACCAGAAGTTGAGAGAAGAATGAGGTTTAGAAAATAAACCCTGCTGTAAGACACAACCTTCATCTGCTATCCTGGAACTGCCTCTGCTTGGCAGCTGAGACCCAGATGCAATCCAGCATGAAAAGGCCCAAGTATGGAAAAACTTTCATCTTGATAGCCCTGATAGTAATAATGTTGTATGGGCAAACAGCAAACCATCTAAACTATAGGCTATTTGTAACAGAGAATATTAACTATGAGCTGGGACTCTTCTCCTCTCTCCATGAAGTCAGTGTCTTTGTCCTTGCAACTCTCTGCAGCTCAAGCACAGCTGTGCTGATGTCAGAGACAGTGGGAGACAGTACTTCAGCCCAAGTTGGGCTTACTGCAAGGTGCCAAATGTTGATTTTATTTTTTGGGGGAGGGGTTGGGAACAGGCTCTGGTAGGGAGCTGAAGAGATCATATGCCCCATTAAAAAAAAAAATAAATAAATCATAAAAATCCTGGTTGTGAGCATCTAAATGTGCTTTGAAGGATTTAAGGCTGACTCACTGATTTGTGAGTTCAGTTTGGAAAGGAAAGCCCAGGCTGTGTGTCAACAACCTTATCAAGAAGCAGCTTTCACTTCTGCACTAGAAGGCACCAGATATAGCATATTTTTAAGCCAGCAAGAGGTCTGTGTACAAACACAACAGATGGATGCCAAGCCTTGTTTTTAGGAGCTGAGTAGCAGTCCAAACAGGTGGTTGACAGAAATTTGTCACCTGTGCTTTTGCTGGCTGATATATCGAAACATTACAATTTTAGCTCTTTAGCAGTATTTTAGCTCTTTAGCAATAAACACAGTTTTTTCTTAGCTGGGTCTGTTTGTGAAAGCCGGAACGAAGTAACAATTCTTATTTGGTTATGAGTTGTATATAGCTTGTGCACAAGTGTAAACTGGATCCTTGTGCTAGACCTCAGCCTGAGGTCAGTCTCAGTTGATCTACCTGCAGTCTGTTATTTGGACTTATGAATGAAAGTCCAGAGGCCAGGTTAGCTGGTTAGTTCCTTGGGTACTTTCATCTGCAGATACAGATATGTCCTATTTGATTTTTAACCCCAGCTGGCTGGCTAGGCTCAGAACATCTCTTTCCTGTCTTTTGGCATAAAACTACTCAAAAACATGGAAAATGAGCTCCCTATATGGTGTTACGTTCTAGTTACTCAGATATATGCAAGCATGTTTAAATTTGTTCTGAGATCCTTTTCTGTGAACGAAGGCATTGTTCTGGGGTGATGCTCAGCCAAGCCCATGATCTGCAGTGGTCCCTGTGGGGGCAGCTTACCATGAGAACAGCCTGAGGATGACTTTCTCCTCCAGGACAGATGTGCAGATGGACCAGATGCACTTCTGCAGAGCACACTGCAGAAGATATCTGTCCTCTGCTCTGTGTGGAGCTCAAAATAATGGATAAAACTAGCAGAGGAGGAGAAGAATGATGTGAAAGGCAGGATGAACATTAAGAACTGGACAGGTCATGGCAAAGGTCTAATAATTTGAACGTACCATGTTCAATGACTTCTTCTGGCTCACGAAATCGAACCCTTCTCTCTGCTTTCCTCTTTTCCCCCACAGCCTGGTCCACAGGTGGCCTTTTCCTCAGTATTGAAGGAGGACAGCTACAGTCATCTGTCTGAAGAGTTGATCAAAACACAAAACAAGGCTTTCAAGCTGGAGTAATGAATTTTGAGTGAAAATCTGAGGTTCTGTGTATTTTTATTGTGTCCCTCATGATACAAAACACATCTGACATAACATTTACGGTTAGATCACTGTGATACTTATAATTTAACTTATAATAGGGCAATATAGACATTCCTTCATCATCAAATATCCTCAGTACTCTAAAGCTGTCTTCTCAGGAAAAATCTTATTTAAAGTAACAAGCAGAAAAATGTTCGGAAAGGATTTCTCTATGCTATTGAAGGTGGCTGCTCAACAGACTGGGGCAGAAGAACAGAAATATGATTTGAAATATATGATTTATGTAATTGCAAGCATCTTTGAAGTGCTCTTCTGAGCTAAGCAGCTCTGTTTTGGATGCAGTGTTGCCATTTCAACAACTAGCTCTTCAGCAATCTTGTGTTTGGACACTATCCCATTGGGTATGAGAAGGTAATTGTTTGCATTTTGATATCACAGTTGTGTTGCTGTTCTATTTTCTTCTTGGAAACCACACTCAGTGTTTGATAATGAAATCAGATTGCTGTGGATTCTGCCAAATGACAAAAAACAGAGCTGAAATAATAATAAAAAATCCCTCATTCTCAGCCAGAATGCTCCTAACGTCAAACTCCAAAATGAATCCAAAGCATCTCAGTTCAGATGCATCCATTGTTGTCAGGAAGGGGAGCAACAGATGGCTAATTTTCTACTTTTTGAAGACATAAGTGGGTGGCAGATAGTCTGCACGTTTTATTTTTAAGATAAAGTTGTCTTCTCCATACCTCTTCTCTACATACCTTCATCTACACCCCTTCATTTCCTTTCTTCTGCTCAAGAAAGAATATTATTTCCTAGATGTTTTCTTTGTTTCTGCTATATGTTTTCCCTGCTCTGCTTTATCCTCATTTGTCTTTTTCCTACTCAGTGAAAAACCTGTAGTTTTCCCAATGCATCACACGCTGGATATTCCTATGACTGAACACCTGCGGATCACACTGGCCTTGGAAGAGATGCCATTATGGGATGGATCTAGAGAGAGATTTAGGGGGTGACATCTGGGCAGATCAAGCCTACCAGAATGGCTTTCCGGAGAATACTTGTGCTTCCTACATAATTCAAAAGACAATTATATGTTTAAAAATAGCATTCACAGCTGCTGGGCCACTGAACAGGAAGGCATATCACACACACAGCAGGAACTGCCATGCCGTGAGGAACATCTTCAGCACTGATACTTTCTCTTGGGGGGTTAATAAGCTAGATTTTGGCATGGCATATCACTGGTGAGGATGTTTTCTGTGATCTTAGGGTCATACAAGCATCCATACCTTCTCTGTGTCGTATTCATGGGCAGAGTGATGGAGGTCTATGGTTTTTTGTCCAGCAAGTGAGAAGCTGGAAGACACACGCAGAGTACAGGAGACCTGATTCAGCTTCTAAGTCTAAGAGAACATCTCCAATATACACACCTTAATCATCAGACCTATGGTACACATAGTGGGGAATCTCAATCTCTGCCACTGAAGCTATCTTGTTTGGCCTGGAATAATTAAATATTCATTGGGACAAAGGAAGAAAGAATGAATGAAAGAATGACCTAGCAGCCTGGTGTTTGGGTGCTCCCTTGGGGGGTGGAAGAGGTCTGCTCCAATCCTTGTGCCAATGAATACTTAATGTGAAATGCTTAAATATTCATTGGAGCAGTCGCTGAGAACAGGGTCTCTTGTCTATCAGGTGAGTGCCCTGATCACTCTGTTGTAGTCTTACACATACACACACACATGCACACGTGCTTTCTGGCATAATGAATATTGAATTACTTTGTTGAAAAAGGTAGCAGTTTCAGGAAGGCACGGCACAAGATGCCCAGCTCAGACCAGCAGTGGTCACAGTTTTTGCTGGGATGTGTCCTCTTGTGGTACAGCCAAGGAAACCTTATATTTTAAGAGATTCATAATCCCACAAGACACTTTTTTCCATATGAGATTTGTCAAAAAGCTCTCAGCAATGTCACCACAGAATAGAAAAAAATGTTAAACAGATAGATAGCTGGGTAGCACCTAGCCAGGAAAAGCCTTAAACAAGACGTGGCATTTACAATATTTACTAGGCTTTAACAACCTGTGGAAATCAAAGCTACACAGTGTCAGAAAAATATTATGCATTTTCCCCTCACACTGCAATCCAGTGTCAACATGCAATGACAAGAATTGGAAACCTACCAAAGTGTTAGGTTGGAAAATATACACTGTTATAAACAACCCACCTGTGAAAAGCTCTGGGCATTGAGCACAAGGACTCTATCACTCATCAAGAGATTACTTACCGGGAGCTGTTCTGTGCTAGGATCAGAAGATGGGGCTGGGCATACTTGGGACATGTACTCAGGATGCTAACATGAAGCCTCCTGCATGAAGCTTCAGTTGGAAAATAACTCATTCAAGGAAATGGGGAGGATCGGGGAGAAGCTCCTGGAGATCCCTCCGCAGGAGGGCTGAGCCAGCAGTGCCACCAAGGGATGGGAGCTGTGACAGATGACAGAGGAGTGGAGAGAGGAGTTTCTGCCCTTCATACCAGTGTTGGCTTGGGAAGGATGACGTGGCTTGAAATGTACTCAGCAGCCAAAAATAGTATGTAGAGATAACAGTGGATGTGCAGCTGGAAAGCTGGGCTTCCCTGGCAATTGGAAAGGGCTGAATGGAGCAAATAACAGATTAACACCTACATATCCATATGCATAAATGTAAATTCAAGACTGATCTTTTTGTGGAGATTACTCCATTTCCATAATGTGTTGGTCTCCTTTCTAGAAGCCGTACCCAATCCCCAAAATCATGCAAGTGGCATTTATTTTAGTCCTTCTGTTCAAAAATATGTGGGCAAAAGCCATCAGGAAATAGATATGGATATAGTGTCTTCACATATATCTCTCTCCAGTACAGTTATGGCCTCATTTCATATGTTTTACAAATTAGATCCATTATTATAGTAATAAAATGAGATTTTAACTTTAGACATTTCTATAGATATTACAATAGGATTATTGATAGTGAAGAGAGGTGATTTACCATTCAACAGGCTTCAATAGCCTGTTGTCAAATGCTGAAGGCTGGCCATCATTAAATATACAATTTCCAGCTAGAATTACCTGCCATGACTGCTGAAATATGGTGGTTTATTGTCTCTACAAGCACAAGAAGCACAAGCTTGAACTTTTTTTGGTTGTTGTTCTTTTCCTGGAGCTATTTATTTGCTGTGAAATGTCTAAGGATCTAAAGTTCTGTGTTATTTTCCAGCTCAGATGGAATCTCCCATGGAATAATACTGGCATTTCTCCTTTCACAAGGGCAATTTTTGCTGCAGAGAGTGGGAGGAGAGACCCAAGTGTTTTAATCTGTTACACAAGTGCATGCTCAGACCAAGACATTGTTTTACACCTACCCTGTGGCATGCAGCTTGTATTGGCAGTAGGGACTGGTCTCTGCACGAGATTACAGTGACTGTGAGAGATGCTGTCCTCAAACCTTGTTCATTCCAGCATCAGCATGGAGGTGGATGCATTTTGCTGGCCTGGGGCACTTCACTGAATGCACCATATCTGAAAGCTGCCTGGAGAGAATTGCCTTACCTTCTCTTTCCTGTACATTGGGGTGTTGGAGGGCTTTTCCTCATGCTGCAACTGGCTCACAGCCACAGGGCTTGAAAAACGATCTCAAAATCCCCTCTCTGTTGTGTCCTGCAAGTGTTTCACAACAGTTATTTTTGAGATACCTAAGCTGAGCTTTCAGTAGGGAAAAATCTTTCTTCAAAACCTTGCTGAGAGTAGATCTTAGACAGAAAGATGACAAAACCTTCCAAACCATGGTACCTAGCTTCTCTGGTTCCTCCTTGTTCCTGTTGTTGTAATCACTTCCTATTAATTAATAGAAAGAATTTATGTACATAATGTGGCCAGAAAAATGGGTGGAGGTGGGAAGAAGGAAATCAAAGCCTAGCATTCATCTCACAATTTCTCTACACAAATTGTCTCATTCATTTTTACTAGCGTCGTCCATCAAGGCACATAAAAAGTTTTTGTAGCTTCTTCTACACACAGTGGAAATGAGCACAGAAGCTTTTTGAGACCTGAATGGCAAACTCTATTCCTGCCTTTTCTACTGAATCTGATTTTGTTGAAAATGAGGTCATATTTTTAAAAATAATTGATCTGAATTTTTTTTTGAGATCTTCTTGAAAACTCCCATAAAAAGACAGTTGTTCTATCTATTTTTTCCTATTGTTTTCAAACAATGGATATTTTAATTTTCAACTCCAGAAACCTTTTCAGTTCCAGACATTCCCCTTAAATGTAAACAATTTTTCTGCTCATTTAATTGAAACATAATAAGGCATCTTATAAATGTTTTCATAAAAGATTGCTATCTAAATGTTAGAAATGATCATTTAATAGTACTGTTTTCACTGCTTTTTCCACAATGTGTTAATTATATTGATAGTAATGGTTGTAAATGCTTGAATAATTTGTAGTTACCTGGGCACTCATGTTCCAGTGGATAAAGATGTCAGGAGTTCAAATCTCATAATAGAGACAGATTCATTCCTACTAAGTGCTTTTGATTGCAGTTTAACAACCTAAAATTGGATATACATTAGGAATAAAACACAGTTTAATGCACAAAGTGAAGAATTCATGAAAATAACTTTGCTAGCTTCTGAAATCAATGGTAACAAATAATAGTTGCAATATTGAAATAATTACTGCTTTAAGTTGGAAGAATTTCCTTTTGCGTTGAAGCTTTGATGTCATTTTATGCAACATATGTCAGAACCAAAGCTGGAGAAAGAATTCATAAATGAATTATTTAGCTGATGAGTGTCACCTCTATTTCTTTCTGCTAATTGTTCACAAATAGATAGTGACTTTTGTGAACGTATGCATTATTCAGATTTATTCAGTGGATAATTGCTGGGAGTAATTCTTTGCCTGTAGATTGCTTGGATGCATTTCTCTGTGACCATTTAATAGTAAAAAACTATCCAGGCTTTTAAAGTGAGACAAACTAAAAATGTCTGTAACTACTGATGAGTCCTTAAGCATGACCAATGCATTGCAGTCTTAATCAGTAAATCTCCTCTGCTGAGGACAAACTCCACTACTTCCTATATTACATAGGAGAGAAAGCAGACATGTCAAATATCTACGCAGTGCCGACTGTGAATGGCTTACACTGTACATGCAAATGAGTTTTTACAAGAAAAGGGTTGCTTAAGTGTTTGCTCAGCAGAAATATAAAACAAGCCTGAACAAAACATGATTGACTTTCCAGTGAATAAATATGAACAGTCCACACAAAGGAACTAACTGCACAGCCAGTATTTTCACGCAATACTCCAATGGAAGATGTTTAGGAAATAAACATAACGTGATAAAACAATGTTACGCTCAGAGGATAGCTATGTAACCATATGAATTCTTTTTCCATTCCCTTCTGCAGGAATAAATATTTTAGACAAGCAAAGCACTTTGTAAATGATGCCTTTGTGGGGATTCGTATGGCCTGGTTCAATTATTTTGAAACCTAGCAATTTTCTCATATCATTGAATCTGGTTTTATTGCAAATAGGGTCATAGAAATAGTCACTCATTTTGATAATGGACTTAGTTTATCTTAACTATTAACACTTCCAGGAGGTTTATACACACAAGTATATATTCAATATTTATGGATATGCATGGTGCATATATATTAATAATGAAGTAACTTTATCTCCAACAATCTGAAAACAAAATCACGTAATACCATACAGTGCGGGGTGCAGAGGTAACTGGAAGCAGCATATCAGGATAACAGAACAGAAAAGGAATAAATAAATTAGAAGGGAGACTTCCATATCTTCTTCAACTTCCAGAGTGTCAATTGAGCCTTTGTTCAATATTCCACCTTTCGTGGTTCGGTGTGCTCTTGATTAATAATTTAGAGACGCACCTTTTGGCAGCAAGGTAAGTTTTGTGTTTGCCAAGAGTAATTTTCCATCAGTCAGGGAATACGTCAGGAAATAAAAAGGTGAATTGCCCCACAGAGCATCATTAGCCGTGTTCCTTCTTCCTTTTTCTGCCTCTGGAGGAACAGATTTACTGCTGAAAAGTGAGGAACACCCATGAGGTGTCATATGGCACTTTTTCTAACCTCAGACCTTCCAGGAAAGAAAGTGCTGCATAAATCCCAATCTCAAGACAAAAATCAGTCCTTGGGACCATGCATTGCCATGTGTGTTCAGTGGCAGAAGGGTCTTGTTAATTCCTCTTTTGTTTGTCACTCCAAAATGGGGCATTTTTGAGGAGTTTGAAAAATGAAACATAATGGAGACAAAACAATGAATGGACAGTTGGTCTTACAATGCTTGGTGCGTGTGTAGACAGTTTCACTGAAAGCAATCAGTTTACATTTTCCAATAGTTCTATACTATTACAGTTCCCTATTTACTTCTGAAGGCAGAATCCTGGCTGTATTTCTAAGTGTAGCAGATACTTCTGGGTGATGAGCATCTTCCTGAAGCTGTGGCATCTATTCTAAATACCCAATACGCAAGGGCTCATACTGCTTTTGAACTGAGCATTCTCTAAGACAAAGATGCTAACACCCAACAAAATGCATAGATCTTGCATTATGAAAAGATCCCCACTGCAGGGCAGTGAGGTTTCTGTTCTGTTGAGACTGACTAGAAATGATTTAACTCTGTTGAAGAACCTGGTCTCAGTTCATCCCTGGAATGAATCCATTGAATTGCAAAAGGCATGGATCCATGTTTCCATTTCCTAAAATTGCCTCTGTAATTCATTTGTCTTTCCAGGTAGATTTTACAAACAGCCACAGTGCACTTGTGATGATATATAGTAAACAGAGTGGGAATTTCTGTGCTGCTGAAACAAACTTTCTAAATAATTACAGAATGATTCCACATCTATTCCATAATTAGACTCCTGAGATTACAGCCTAGCCATTATTTGTGATTCAACACGCATTTTGAATTTGGAAATATCCCATAAATCACTAGGTTTATTCCACTTGAGGTTTTCTCCTTCTTTCTGTTCATCCTGCCACTGGGATCTACAATGTAAAGCATGTATTGATTGAATAACAGTTACCAAGTAACCAAATGCTAATACCTGCTGTTGGCTCCCTGTTCCTACATCACTCAGTCCTGCTGATGGTGACCGTGGGAGACAGAGAGAGCTGAAGTGGGTGAGGTCATTGTGAGTCAGCTTTTAACTGTGTTATCATATTTAGCAATAGAAAGGAATGGAATTGAGTTCTCCTTGCAGCAGCCAAGTTGCCAGCAGCCAGGAGGTGGGTGAGGAGGATGAACCCACTGCCAGCAGGTAGATGGCTGAGCTGGCATAAAATAAAAAGGCAAAAAGCATGAAAAGCAAAATCCTCAGAAGCAGCAAAAGCAAAATTATCTTCAGAGCTTTATTTAAGCCACAATAGCTTTGTGCTCTCTGTTGTGTTGATAGGAGCTTTC